GGTGCCACCGGAGGTTGTGAGGACACAGTTACTGCAGCTTCAAAAAAGGATTAGACAAATTCATGGAGAAACACAGGTACTGAAGGAACATATAAATAGGATGATCTTGGGTAGAAGGGAAATGGACTGCAGAGAGTTGCCAGACCTCTGTGCTCACCATAAATAGCATCTCCTACTGCCACTGCTGGCGACAGAGTAGTGGGTGAGAGGAACTACTGGTCTAATTTGAGAGGATATTTCTTATGTTCTTACTTTGTAGAAGTAGAATAAAATATCAGATATCATCAGATATATCAACTTACACTCACCAAGAGTTACAAACGAGCTACTGCTTAGAAGACAATTAATTGCAATGCTCAAGAATTACACTAACGGTTAATAAAATTATTGTATTGGATTCAAACATTTCTGTAAGATATAAGAATGCAATTGATTTTAGAATATTTAAGTGTTGTATTTTGTTGATTTTTTTTTAAATTATGGAGAAAAACATCTGCTAGATCTAGTCCACGTGTTAAGATTCAAACTTGTATGGAAAATGCTTGTTAATAAAGATCAGACACTAGATTTCACAACTGTATAACACCCTAAGCCATTGCATTAATGAAAGCAATATAACATATCTGTAAAGGAGTTGCAGTGAACTCTCACATCAGCCTTGGTTAAAAAGGAATGTTTAGACATTCCTAAAAAGTGGCCTTTATGGGGGGACATGAAGCGGTCTTTTAATTTCACAGTTCCCATTATTCCAGCCCCTTGCAAAAACAATGGCTAAATGGCTCGAGCACTGTTAGATGCCTGACTCCGACAGAAAGTGCAAAGCATTATTTCAACAGAGTGCATTTTCTCACTCTATAGAAAGATCAAAAAGATTTCTATTCACTTCCACTTTCTAGAAAGCCTTCTAGGTTGATTATGAAGTGAGGTTGACTGTGAACTTCAATAGGTCAAACAGTTGGCCACTGTACTGAAAGGAGTTCTCTTTTCCTACATAAGTTCATTAATGTTTAACAAACTTTAAAGATGCATATATTGTACTTTGCTCAACATATGGCTGGCAGAGAACTAGTAAATATCAACATTTTAGGAGTTGCAATAAAACTCTTGAGGAAAAAGAAAGAAACTAGAAGTTTTTAGTTTGTTATTTCCTTTAGTCCAGGGTTTTGGTTTCATTCAAAACAGAATTTCAATATCATATTAGGGCTTCCCTTTTCTCCTTTCCCTCTTACCCAGGCACCTGGGTACTCCTTACAGTATTTCTCCACATGTGGGTTAGGGAGAGGACAAGTCTGTGGTCTGAGGAGAGTAACTTAGGAGAAGCTGTCTTAGGAGAAAATGAGAAGATGAGTCTGTCTCATCCGAGGGAGATGATGAGCCTGTTGTCTTTCCTCTCCCTTTGCACCCTGTGCCCTCCACTAAGGTTTATACTGTGGTTTCTTTTTGTGTGGATTTGGACACTCCTGCAGGACCTTTGATTCTTGCTGGAACTCAGCCGAGCTTTTTGCCAGCTGTGAGAAGGGGAGATGAGGGAGAAGCTGGTCCCTGAGCTTGGCTCCTGCAGCCCCAGCTTCCACCACCTGCCCAGCGGCAAGGCATGGTTAGATAGACTGGATATTCATATCCAGCTAACAATAAATATGCGCCTGGATTAAAGTGAAACAACTAGGCTGCAATGAAAAAGAACAAAGACTAGCGTGTCATTAGACACCAGAAGAAACCCAGCTTGTGGAAGAACTTCCATTTACCCTTTTTGCTCCAAAGGTGTGAACTCAAAAGCAGGTGGGAACTTCAAGGGCATCTGTGTGTGGCCCAAGAAAGACACTCCTCCAGAGAAACTTCTCTGAGCAACAGCTCAGCCTTTGTTGTGAATTACAAACGTGGTTATCAGCAATGTCCTATGATCCTCTGAATGGTTGAATTCGACCCGTTTTCCTCCTGGGAATGAGGACGAAAGCACGCATTGGGGGGGGCGTCTCTGCGGAGAGGCGGGGGGCTGCAGGTCAGCCGCTGCCTTCGCCTTGCTGCAGCAGCTGCCCCACCGCCACGGCGGGCAGATGAAGCTTCTGCTGTTTCAATTTTCCTCTCCACACTGGATTTCGTCGAGCTGTGTCTGAGCCCAGGGAAAGTTGCAGGGCTCAGCCCAGCCAAGAAAGAGTAGAGGAAAAACTAAAACCACACCTATTTCCGGCAGGCCCGCTAGGTGCATGCGCTAATTTGTGCTCGGTGGCCCTTTGTCCTTAGAAACTGCCCGTATGAAATGTGATTCAACTTTCCTGGACCTTCGTGCCTAACCTGATCAGTCCCAAACCAAAAGCAGCGTAGACAGAAGCACGGGGCTTCCAGCTGCCGTGCATGTGGGGGCCTGGCACACTCACCACAGCTCGGCTGAATCCTCATACTTCTAGACAGTGCCTTTCTGCCTCTAGCACAGAGCCCCCAGAAGATATCGTTGGGCATATTTTGTAAAAAACACTTTTTTAAAAACAAAAGCCATTGGATTAATACAACAAATAAAGAGAACAATCTTTATTTAAATGCTGTACCTTAAGACTGCAACTGAAGCACTGGCAGAAAACGAAGTAGAAGGACATATAAATAAAAGTAGGCATTTTTTCAGACCTTTTCTACTTTCACGGTTTGCAACTGTATTACCACTCCAACGATTTTGCTTCATTCAACAGCTTCTGATACGCATTGAGTAGCAGCAATCCAAAGAAAGCGCTTTTGTTTGCCTGGTTTTGAGAGACCTGTCATGAACAGAATGTGACTTTTCAGGGGATGGCAGGGCGGACAGCTGGCTGCAGACCCTCGCAGTGCTGTTCCCACCCAAGTTCCAGATGCCGTGTAAGTGACAGCTCTGTTGCACCCAAGATGAAGAGTCACTGCAGAAGCAGGCTCTGACAGACGGCTTCAGGCACTCTTACAAGTGCAAACACGCAATATGTCTATTGTGCATGTAATGAGTCACCTCAAACAGAAAATGCGTGTCGTGCCAGATTACACAGAGGTTTTGTGAAAATAAATATTCCCATTGAGGATTAGCATGAGACCAGAAGCTATGCCAAATTTGGCTAGTCTCTAAAGGCCAATCTTGTTCCTTAAACCAGATGTTTAACAGAGGTTGTGACATATGAAGAGACCAGCAGACACAAAATACACGCAGTGTATGCTGACTCAGAATGAGGTGTATCATTTTAGAGGGTTAAAATACAATTTTTGAAGTGTTGTAAAATTCTTTAAATCACTTTCCCTGATACTCCTTCACATCTTGCACAATTAACGACTAGTAGCAAAATATAACTTAATGCTTTGTAGCATTCTCCTTTTCTCTTTTTTAGTGTCTACTTACAGGGAGGCCAGTGTGATTAGTTACTGGGGTTATTTACCTCCCTGAGATAAATCAAAGAGTGACAGTGGCCAGCAAGTACATAAAATCTGCCCTCACCTCCCAATCTAGATGGTAAGCCACTCACAGGGAGCTTCTCGTCAGTGCCACCTGACTGGTTCTCTACTCGGGTAACCTAAGATTTTCAGCTTTTCTAACCTATGCAGTTATTTTTGTTTAGCTACCGCTTTTGTCTTGCAGACTCGGCAACCTGAAATTAAAGGTTATTCAGTCAATAAGGAATGCGAAAGATATTTCAGTCACAAAACTTGGTAGTTTTGCAACAGATATTTTCACAAACTCTAGTGGAGAACAAGTATATCCATGCCTTGCCTTTAGAACCAAAAAAAAAATGACACTGAAAAAAGACATAGTAATATCATAATTGAAGCCATTTCATACAGCATCAGTTTTTGACTTCCAGTGCCCTTGGAGGGAAGTGGCAGGAGGCACTTGCCAAACTTCATGTGCTGGATGACAAGGGTAAGGCAGTAACAGTTGGAGGGAGACCCATCGGAAGCTGTGTCTCGGGGGAGGGCTTGTTTGTCCTCAGCTTCATCAGTTTGCCATTAGGCTATTCTAATGGAAAGCAGACAGTGAGCAGATCATGGTCAGGGGATGGGAGCATAACCGTTACAGTCCTCATGGCATGGTAGCCCCAGGATCATCTGACTTCCACGGAGACATCGGGACTTCTGCTGTAAACAAGAGTGTTCCTCGCCTCCCACCTACACTGTGACTTTCCTACCACCTCTTCCTCCACTCAGACGTGGAGTCAAGCTTGAGGAATGCAATGGGAATGGGAACTGACGGCCTGCTGCCTGGAGTGAAGGCAGAGAACTAAAAAGTCTTAAGAGGCTTGTGATAGCAGAAAGAGCATATGACCTGCTGCCGCATCTCTTGCCTGACCTATTCTTAGAGATGGGTGGATGGAAAAGGCTGAGTCACCGTCTCAGCTGCAGAAGACCAAGCTGTACAGAAGGAGCCTGCCAGCCAGGGCTCCACGCCATACAGGATAGGAACTGCCCTAGTTCTCAGAGCTCTCTGCGGCAGGTGGCTAATCCCCTCCACCCCGTCTCCCTTCCTCTCCCTCATTCTGCACTACTCCCCAAAACAAAGAACAGACTATCAGCAACAACCTAACGCCAGAAGTCCCAAGCGGTTTGCTTCCAGCAGGGATTTCAGGTTTTGCAGGCCTCGTTCCCTTTTGCTTTAACGGAAATCACATGTATGGGGTATATTTTCATCAGACACCATTTCATTAAAAAGACTTCAAGAACATTACTGACTGATTTTGTCCACATTCATTTAGCACTGTCACACAATCCAGAGACGCTCTAGCACACAGTGTCCTTAAAATTCTGATCCAATCAGCTCACCATGGCCGTCAGGCCCCTTGGCCCTGATCTTTGAGAAAAGAACCTACAATATTTCATGACAAAGTATTTCTTCAAATCTAGAAGCTCTTGAGGAAGTAAGATGAAACAACAATAACTTTTTCCTGAAAAGGAATAACTGTTTGAATACTCTTAGCCGTCTGATGCAAGTCCACCTGGAGCAAATAGCGCTGAACTGGTACCATCAAGAACGTTTTACAGGAAAAAATGCTACTTACACGGCTTCCTTTTTCAGGGAAACACTGACATCCTCCACTGCAGTCTCTCCCTCCACATGGTCCCGTGTAAGACTTTCCACCCTGCAAATCAGAACACACATAAAACTGACTGTTAAAAGGTATGAGCTACTATACCTGGCACAGCACAATAAGCTTTGATTAGCAGACTTGCGGGGAACTTGCCCAAGCAAAGACAAGGATCATGTCTATGACTTCCACTTGAAATCTCTTTAATCTGTGCTTAGAAGCAGACATGAGTGGCTTTCCAGTTCTTCGAGACCAGCATCAAGAAATATAATGTTGCTCTATTAATTTCCCTCCACATTTTCAAAACATTGCAGCTCCATGCTGAGCAGTATCTCACACATCTTTTTGACACACGCAGCAGATATCGTATCACAGAAGCACAGCTGCTTGGATTCTTCAGGGACATGGACTAAGTCCTAGGCCACAATGCAGCACATTTTTCTACGCGTGCTCTAAATCGTTGCTATATTTTAAAATATTTATGGGTGGACATAAAGGAAGACTTAGGTATCATGTTCAAAATCATAAGCCAAACTCCTGCCCTCTCCTCTTCAGCGGCTGCCTATTCTGGAGGGACCTAAAACTTGCTAGCAACCAACCACTGTGACCTAGAAGTGAGACCTAGATTAAGTAGATGGCTGCAGTTACATCTCTCCTGCCTGTCCAGAACCACCTTGGCCTGGGTCACAAATATATGGATCACAAATTATGCACCGCTCCACGCAAGTCCTTGGATGGACTCCAACCGGCAGGCCAGCTCAGATTGCACCTAGCACACAGTGCCTGCACCAAATGCAGCAGCCACAGTCACTCTTGTTCAGAAACTTGAACAGCAGAGATGCTGTGCATGCTGTGGCGTGACTTTTATAGCTGTAACTTAATAATTAGGAATACTGTGAAGACCAGCCTGTGGCCCACCTAAGCCCAGGGTTTTGAAACCCTGATAGTGCCCCAACAGCTTAGTAAGTAATCTGGGGAAGGAGGAAGGCATTTCACATCACTATTTCTGAACTTGGTTTGCCCCACAGCAAATAATTAATTGAGCCAGAAGAAAAAGAGAGAAGGACTGAAGTCTAGTGGCTACAAGAAGGATGTCTTGGAGCCACACCCCCTTATTCGGGGTGGCTCCTAATTTTCACATGCACACGCATTTTAGACAAAACCTCAAAGCACCCCAGCTGTAGGGTAGAGAGTCAAGCTCCATGTCGCTTGCTCCCCTCCTGGCTGGAAGAACCCTGAATCCTTCCTTGTACTGTGGCAGGGACAAATGGTCCCTTTACCCTCCCGGCCTCCTTCATAGCCTGAGCACGTCATCTATTGGAAGGGGGGTGACATGGGTATAAACAAGCCTACAAAACAAGATGGCCGCTCTGAACTGTTGTGCTGCTGCTTACAAAGGCAGTGATGCTGTCGTTCCTGCCTCAAGCCCTAAATCAAGGAGCTAAAACACAGCGAGGGACCAGCACTGCCATGCTTAGCGTTATTCATGTAGCTCTAAGCAATCCCTTACTCAACACTTGGGGTTGTTGGGTCACATTTCGCAGGTATCCACTTGTGCCATTACACTACCAAGAACCTGAAAACGCAGCTCCAGGCTTTGGATTCCTCCCTAAAGCCAAATGAATAAAAGGTATGGAGCAGGTACCAGGCATTGCCTAAGTCCTCCATTGGTCATATTTGTACAGTAGGCTCTCCATCTTATGGCAAGCAGTGATACAAAGCTTCCCAAACAAGTTCTTACGCTTGTCATGAGAGGTTTCATGTCTGTTTTGTAACTATTTTTGCATATTAAAATACTTTTGTTTCAGCTTTTTATTTAATTCTCACATTTAATGAAACAAGTAGGCTTTTCATACTGAAACAGGTCCACAGAACAGAAACCATGCCCTGAGCTATTTAAAGGTTAGGTGTTTGATTCAGCAAATTATTTCATGGATGTAACAGTGCTCTACCTCATGTTATGAACTTTGCTTTATGTTTACGCTATTATTTAGAGGAAATAATAAGCCAAGCCAGTTTTATAAACTCCATCAGCCTGCTCAGGTTGGTCTATCTTTTATTTAATGTTTGGATGGTCACAAACCCACCATCTCCATATTTTTTTTTTCTTATTAAGCTATTTGCAGATGAAATGTGCTTGTCTGGCTCGGTATTGTTCATTTCACAGAGTTTCCCCCTCAACGCCTTTTTGGAAATTAAGAATAATTTTTATGGATGCCATGCAGATGTACGGCCTGTGTGAACATATTGCTCTGCAGCATGCAGATCTTCACTAAGAAGCAGTGTACTTAGTAGCGCAGCCATCAATAAGAATCAACTCTGAAATTTTAGAGAGCTGTTTTGGTTGGAGCTGTCAATAACAGTATATCCCAGCCTAACAGTAACAGACTGACAGATACAGTAATTTTATCATTTGAGTTTTCAGTTATGCCTATTGAGAAAACAATAAGGAAAACAATAAATTTATTTCTTTCTTAATTAGTGGAGTGACTCTAAATTTGGTAAACCATTGCTAAGGAGAAAATAGATTATGAATCAGAACTATGGCAAGATATTTGTGCACTTGGAAAAAAAAAAGGAGGCTGCTAATACTTCTTTCAACTGGAAGAAGTTCAAGATCTATTGTTTGTGTACTATCCACCATCCAGTATTTTAATTTGCATGTTGTAACAATACCCACAGCTAATGTAGGGACACAATTGTTTTCTTCCACAATTTTAGGAAGTGCTTTTTTTTTAATTTTCTCATTTTATGTCCTTTTATGAACATAGATTCTTCAGACAATGAAGAGAAAAATCTGGAAGAATTCTCCAAAGGCAGGGAACATAGTGGGAAAGCATTTTAGACCACCATTAATATATCTCTTCTGCATTACACTTGGCCTCTCCTCATTGCTTAAGTTCCACTTCTTCACTTTTTGACTGCTAGTGGGATGACTCTGGGAGCTTTCAGTCATATGTAGCATTTTCTGCTTTATGAATGTTTATAATTTCTTGAAGGCAGATCATTGCACTGTTATTTATTCTGACACTACTGGGAAGTTAAAGTATAAAACATGACAGTTTAGAAATTTTTTAATGTTAAGAAATAAATCTGTTAAAGACTCTTGTAAAACTTTGTCAAAAACAATTATACATATGGCACACAACTAAGATGAAGGGAAATCAAATGTACATGTACCAGTCAATAATTAGTATGCAAAAAGCCCAGTTTAATATTTAGCAATGGACAATGTATTTTTAAAGTACCACAAGTATTTATTTCCTGAGGAAAACAGATTTCTGGGAATATAACATCAATGGCGACATCCAGATGGAATTGTCTTGATCTGAGACAGGTGCCTGGAACACCTTTTTGGTCAGTGAGTCCAAATCTCCTTCTCAAAGCTAGCTGTGGCCTCTGATGGGAACACCAAACGTGAGGAAAACTATTTAAGAGCAGACACATGGTGCAAACACAAAACAGGTTATACCACTGCACTGGTATGCAAGCTCTCTGTGCGTAAGGTGATGTATTGCTTAATTAGAATTAGGCTAGGGAGTCAAGGCTAAAGTATGATAATTCTGTCCAAAAGCATGTAATATAAATGAAATGTAACCAACATGAACCACAGGGTCAGAAGGCTGCCTTTGGAGGCAAGGCTGTCTCATTTAGCCCACTGTAATGGTAAAATTGCCTAGGTAATAGTGTCAGAAACACCAGCTTTTGAGTATAACAAAATTGGGACTGATGAGGAAAAAGTAACTGAGTAGAGTGTGTATTTGGGAGGAGTATAGGCAGAGAGAAGAAGGTTCAAGGGTGGTAAAAAGGTGCAAAAGATAAAAAAGAGGATTAGGGTACCCAACTAGGTGAAGAACAAAGACTGTGAGGATATGCTAAGAACAAGAGCAGACACATGAAAAGGGTTGCAAAGTATTGGAACAGGCTGCCCAGGGGAGTGGTGGAGTCACCACCCCTGGAGGTATTTAAAAGACATGTAGATGTGGCACACAGGGACATGGTTTAGTGGTGGACTTAGCAGTACTAAGTTAACTGTTGGACTCGATGATCTTAAAGGCCTTTTCCAACCTAAATGGTTCTATGGTTCTATGATTCTTTGACACCTGCAGGCAGCAGTGATGCTGACCTGCGAGCACAAGCCCACTGGGAGCCCCTTGGGAGAGCCCACAGGTGTCTCCACCAGGCATGTCCCTGAAAGACTTGCTGTGGGAGGGTGGAGTAAGAAGGGATAAAGTTGTAAGGAAGGGTAGGCCTACATCTGAATATCAATTGCAGGAGGAAGTGCAACAGAATTGCAACTCAAAAGCCCTTTCGTGCAATTTATAAGCTTCCTTAATAGTAAATTTGTATGAATACTAGTACTAACAATAAGCAGTAGAATTGTAATACAGTGTTTCTTGCAGTGACATAGTTGTAAATTAATACTACTAGTAACACTGGTATGTTACTTAGCCTATTAAAGTATTATCAGGTTCTTAGAGGCGTGTTCTTTAATCAGCAAACATTGCAGGTTATGTCTGACATCACCAGTCTAAAGGGGGAGAGCTGAACTTGCGGAGTAAGACCCCTCTGCAAAGCTTCCACTTCATGCTGGGGCACCAAGCCTCCCTGTCCACGTCCTCCTCCTGCTGGCAGGAGGGCAGTGGTCCTTCTGGCCACACACACAAGCACATGCTGCCCCAGCCACATGGGATCTGAAAACCAGACAGAAACTACCACACATGAAGGGCTCCAGACAGACCCCCAGCTCTGCAGGCAAGTGGCACAGATCTGCTTAGGTCCACAGCTTTCAGAGCTAGGCATCTGGAGAGCAGACTTACCTTGCAGAGACCAGGACAGAGCAGTCCAGAACAGATGAATATCTGCAATTCACTCTCTGGCCTCTTTTATTTACCAGCTTAGATATCTCCACAGGGGCCTATGTGAGTATGCCTAGCTCATAGAGCCTGACCTTCTGGAAAATGTGGTTACAGCTTTTTTATTTTTAAAATAGAGCTGGAGAAGATGATGGGGTAGAGGAGGACTCAGCGGAGCAGCTTTACTCTGCTCCATTC